TGTGCCAAGTTTGGTGAAGAAATATTGAACGCTTTTGGAGTTCTGCTCCGGAAAAGACAAATGTGCACGGACAGAGTCCATTTTTATAGCCCCCGCAAAACGCGTTGCGGGGGATAACAAGAGTATAATCAATTAAAAACTTAATATAATACATACAAATCCTTATTTACCGATGGATCCAAGGATGGTGGCGCTGTTGCTTGTGCCACTGTCATTGGACCTAGAACAATCTCTTCTAGATTACCAGGCGTTAGTTCTATTTTCACAGCAGAAGCAAACGCCATTTTCACAGCGCTTAACTATATTAAAACCCATCCTAAGTGTAAACAATATATCATATTTTCAAATTCTCTTTCTTGCCCTCAGGCTATAAAAAATCGTTCTTGCAAACATCCACTTTTAACAGAAATAACTGAATTATACCATGAGCTTGCTTCTGGCCAATGCGACATCGTCCTCTGTTGGTTACCCAGCCATGTTGGAATCTCTGGTAACACAATGGCCGATCTTGCTGCTAAGGCAGCACTCAACAAATCTGTGACACCACTTCTTATTCCGTACTCTGATTATAAATCTAACATCAGATCTTATATCCGTGATCGATGCAGAAGTGGGACACTCCAAGTAGGTAATAATAAATTACATGCAATAAAACCTTATATTGGTTATACTTACTTGGGTTGTCAGTCCAGATTTGAAGAGGTCATCATACGACGATGTCGTATTGGCCACACAAGATATTCTCATGAATACTTATTGAAAGGTGAGGATCCTACGTTTTGTATCCCTTGTGATGAAAGAATCACGGTCAAACATGTCCTGCTTGATTGTATTGATTTTTCCATTACAGGGGATAAGTATTTCAACGTCAAAACAGTTAAGGATCTTTTTAATGTTAATAATCATTTAATCATTGAAGTTTTAAAGGAAATAGAATTACTAGATAATTTTTGATAAATGGTCTGTAAATAGATAAATATTTTAATATTGGTAGTTTAGATTAATAACTGAGATTGTTAGTGGCTGTACCCTCAAAGGGGGTTCCTAGTATGGTGATCTACCTTCAGTTCTTGGCGATCTATAGGCCGTGTTTTATATTGTATTGTCTTCTTTAATTGGAATGTTTTAGCTTGCTCGCTTGTTTTATATTATATCTGTGATTCTCTAGTCTTTTTACTGTCCATCGTCGACAGATTTTAATCTTCAAAATGTTTTCACTTTTTATCGTATATCATCACGATATGGCTGAGATACTGCCGATGTGACGTTAAATATTAAATCACTCACTCAAAGGGGGTTGAAGTATTGTAAAATTATTGTCCTCCTGAGAGGGTACGTAAGTCCCAAGCATTCCATGTAAATTTAAATCTACTATCATTTTTAATCGTAGAATATATGTTCTTTTAATTTGTGGCTTGAAATTGCTAATAGCTGAAGGGATGGTGTAAATCCAGCTAGGGTCCATGCAGGTAGCAAAAGTAATGTAAGTCCCCATGGTTCCTAGTATGGTGATCTACCTTCAGTTGTTGGCGATCTATAGCCTTCTTTAATTGGAATATTTTAGCTTTGCTCGCTAGTTTTATATTTATATCTGTGATTTTCTAGTATTTTAACTGTCCATCGTCGACAGGTGTTAATCTTCCAAATGTTTTCACTTTTTATTGTATAAATTGTTTTCGTCACGAAATGGCTGAGATATTGCCGATGTGACGTTAAATATTAACTCACTCACTCACTAGTATGGTGATCTACCTTCAGTTGTTGGCAATCTCTAGCCCGTTTTTATATTGTATTGCCATCTATAGTTAAACTGTTTTAGATTTAAGTACTAGTTTTAAATTCGTCTCGGGGATAATCTAGTTATTTTACTGTCCTTCGAACACTGTTTTTTTATAATTTACTATTACTTACTATGTATACCAATTAATTGTTCTCGTCACGATATGGCTGTCATATTGCCGATGTGACGATAAATTTTAACTCACTCACTCACTTGATTGAAAATGCCCCTACACTTCTCGATAGTTAGGGGAAGCAACTTTGCGTTAATGTTAAAAACGGACAGAATCAAAGCGTAATGTTTACGCTGAACAGAAAAACATTCTCAATTTCAGTTAAGTGATCAGAAACAAACTGTTAACCTTTCATGGCCTAATATTTGAAGCGTAGTTATGAATATGTCAGTAAACGTGAGAAAATCAATCCTGCAGCGCATGTATATGAGAGAAAACAAATGTAAAGCACTAAATTACCTAGTGCGACAGGGAGAAATGAAGTTACTTACTGATTGACACTGGTCAAACTGGTTGAAGTATTGTAAAATTATTGTCCTCCTGAGAGGGAACGTAAGTCCCAAAATTGTTCAAAGTCAATTTAAACTTGCCAGGATTTTTGAACGTAGTATTCTTGTTATTTTAATTTTGGCTAACATTTCTTACAATCGCCAGCAGCTGAAGGGATGGTGTAAATCCAACTAGGGTCCATACAGGTAGCAAAGGTACTGTAAGTCTCCATGGTCCCTGGTATATGATCTACCTTCTGGTGTTGGCGATGTTTTTATATTGTATAGTCCAAATAGTGCTATCAGTTTTTACTTTCCACACTAGTTTTAGTTGCAATTGTGATATTCTAGTTGCTTTACTGTCCTTCGTCGACAGTTTTTATAACGTACATATATTCCATTTCAATGTCAAATGTTCTCATTTCACTTTTTATTGTATAAATTGTTTTCGTCACGATATGGCTGAGATATTGCCGATGTGACGTTAAATAATAACTCACTCACTCACTCACTTGTCAAAGTGAATGTAAATATGCAATTAGTGTCTTATACCACTAACAGATTGTCCAGGATGAAAATCTATAAAACAAAACGTTTTGTACATAGTCGTAGTGTGTGGATTTCTGCATTAAATGGAATCTATGATAATGATAAATAAGTAGATAAGTGCGAATACTGTGCAATCCTCAATCACTCCCCGGTTATGATTGGCTTCACTGGACCGATCATAACAGGACTGGCTCAGAGGGATGAGAACATGGGCTTAGTTGAATTAGTTTCCCCAGAAGCTGTTTACAGACTATAGTTACAGATGTTAAGGAAGTCTCATCTATGATATGTTTTGTGTTCTGACTTTCGAGACAAAACATTTCTCGTCACTATATGGCTGAAATATTGCCGATGTGACGTTAAATATTAACTCACTCACTCACTTTCGAGACAAAAGCTGTCGTGCCTGCATCACTCTTATTAACTGTTGCTTTTGGTAAAGAAAAGTATATTTTCTGTTCGCTATATTTTAGTTGCTACAATGTACATTTGTGTGCGTTCATATCAGAGCGCATGTTGTCGATATAGAGAATATATTGTTTCGTCACAAAACTGCTTGATTTAAGTTTCATATATACTCATGCCAATAATGGTTGTCACCCCCCTCCCCACACCACCTCCAATTAAAAAAGTGGAAGGGGGGTGAAAACCATTATTGGCATGAGTATATATACACATGGAACAAGTATCGGAACACCTATGATTTTAGCTCCACAATAGCCAATTATATCACACAATGATGTTTGTTTAATTATTTTTACTCTTCGGGAGCACCATCCATTGATTTTAGATATGCACGTCCTACGAGTGAGTGAGTGAGTGAGTGAGTGAGTAAATGTTTCTTTAGGTCGCATAAACAGTTATTTGCGGCTAATTATCACAGTAAACAGTAAGAACTGACATTCAGAATTTAAAATCTATATTTTATTTTACCATAAGGCTTAATTTCTTTCAAATTAAACGAATAGAAACGGTATTGAAAACTTCAGAAATAATTTAAACAGTATAAATTGTTTGGCGAAAAATCCACACATCCCACGAAAGGTGCTGGACAGTCACAGCACTGTCACACGGAATACATTGAGGCTGATTATCTCCCTTCATTAAAACATGGTTGAGTATAATGCAGTGAGTAGTTTAACATGTTGTTTCCATTTTAATTGGAAACCATCACAAGCATGACTATAGTTTAGGCCAAAATATAAGCCAGCTTAACTTGAAAATATTCGAACGACAAATCACTATTTAGAATTCATTGCTACAGTGTGAAGAAAAAACAAATGGATGGATCGAATTAATTTCACTATCAAGCAGGAAGATATGTGTATACAATTTACAAAATGTATCAGCACATTCTAACTTTAACATATGTCATCTACTTTTTGACGTATCGGTTAAAATTTCCATGTCAAATGTTCTTGTCACGATATGGCTGCAATATTGCCGATGTGACGTTAAATAATAACTCACTCACTCACTCATCGGTTAAAAGTTCATTTTTTCCAATATGTCATATTAGTTCAATTCATCTTGTAGGAACTATTATCCGTGAAAAGCTAATATCATCATTCTGATGTTTTTGATGGATTGCAAAACTTCAGAACTCGACACAGATATCAAACAATTTATAATTGCTGGATTATGAAGGCAACTGGGCATATGCAGAGGAAAGTCAAACAGTAACCGTGCATAGAAAGCAGGACGAAGTTAAAGTCTGCAATGTGTGTGTCCATCACCATAGCTGACGGTAGATGTCATGGTGTGGAGCTGTATGACAGTGCATGGTGCACGACGTTTAACTTCTGTAGAAGTAACATAAATTCCCCAAAGTACATTGCTATACTATATAATTTTTGGTCAGTTGGTTGTTTCCAGCTTTATAGCGGCGGTCGGAAAATAGTCGTGTCGGGACCAGACAATACTGTGATCACCATCACGAGCATCGATGGGTTGCTGAAGACCACATCTAACCCGAATCTTCACGGGTTTGAGGGCATTATTATCATGGCACATTCCCGAAGAAAATTACCTTTTCCAGGATGACAATTTTCCCGTTCATCGGGCCCGTATGGTTTATGAATGCAATGAACAGAACAATTTTGACTGTCTGGCTTGACCTGCAGAAAATCAAAGCATCCGGAAATGATCACGATCACAAAATTCAATCGAAGTCACACTTGTTGCCATGGACACGCATAAATTGTTTTATTCAGAAATCCCAAACTACCATAAGACACTAGTACACCACCAAATCTATCTATGTGCCAAGTTTGGCGAGGAAAACGGTTTTCATTTCTGCTCCGGAAAAGGCAAATGTTCAGGAACGCACGGCCGGACGGAGTCTATTTTAACAGTGGAAATGTGACTTCTTGTAACGAAAGTGATTGTAACAAATTTGTTCTTGACAACTTGTGATGTCAGAAATGAATCTCGCACACAAACTTTTCGACTGTGTCACACTGAACGTCACGAATGCAGTCGAACTCTATAGCGGCGCACCTCTCAGATACAACATTTGGTTCATTGGGGCACCATACATCTGAGTTAGAGGAGAATGTCTTGCCAGTGATCCACTGCCATTCGCCATTAACTTCAGAAACTCCGCACAAGAAGAATTCGTAGCCGTATCCGTAATCTGGAATTACCGACATAAGTAGTTCTATATTACTTGTTCAGTCGTTATTACTGTAATAAAGTCCAGTTAGAATTTGAAGTTTGATTCAATAGCTTGTTCTACAGGTGTAATACCAGCTTCATTGTACCAGGGTGTAATGAACAAGATTTGACTATTTGTGGACATTTTTTACTCACAAATGAAGCAGGAAATCTGGCTTAAAATGGCTTATTAACATTCACTCAGTGCGTTACTAAATTTTTCATGTTAGCAACATTTCAGTTAAGAAGTGAGAACCTAAACAGAAATGTCGCTTTCACTGTAATAAAGTGTTATTAACCTTCCCAACTGCTACAACTTCGAAAGTTTATATTTCACTTAGATAATGCGCTTTCAATAGAAGTTTATATTTCACTTAGATAATGCGCTTTTAGCAATATTCCATTAGGCTAACATCACCGCCCGCCAGTACAAAATTGGAACTGATACAAACAAATAATGAACATCACACATTGTGCCCATGCATGTGGGGAATCGAACACGAGGATCAGAATTCGGCGTGAAGATTCACATTTCATGAAGAAATCTGCTTTTAACCATTAGGCTACCACACCGCCCATCGCTAAATGTTTTCCCAGTTTCAGTATAATGAAACCAAATTGTTGGTACAAATTATTTGCTTTAACCTTGATACAAATTGGAATATTCCTGTTAATGAACATCGATCTTTTAGCGGTTTTCAGTTACAGACCCTGATTCCCTTAGGTTCAGTTATACAAGAAGGCATCATGGTTTCAGGATCAGAATCAAAGGATTTTCTGATGTGTTCTAAATTCATAACATGTATTAATGTATTTACTCAGGAGTGTATGAATGTATTTAATTATATTTCTCCCGAATTTGCTGTTTGTGTTTGCTTACCATTTGCCACCATGAAGTCCCGAAATTTACCAATTTTTGCCTGGGTCTCGAGGGTGATCAGATCAGCATTGTGGTCTCTACAGTGTTCTCTTGCTGAGTGCATGTTCAGCTTGTCGGTGACAACCTTGATGCACCAGCTGCCCATGATACTAAATCCAAAGGGGCATACACCTGAAAATGTACAAGGCCTATATTTTAATACTGTCTATATGATGAATTGATGAAGACATCATGGGGAAAAGAGTCCACACAGTGAAATTCAGAGGTAACCGGACTTGAGGTGGTCCATGAATACACAATGAATACATATGTATTCCCAGCTTCAGCCATGGGTACCCGTGACGGTCCGGGTTAGAATATTGATCTTCAGCAACCAATGCTTGTCGTAACAGGCGACTAAGGGGATCGGGTGGTCAGGCTCGCTGACTTGGTTGACACATGTCATCGGTTCCCAATTGCGCAGATCGATGCTCATGCTGTTGATCGCTGGATTGTCTGGTCCGGACTCTATTATTTACAGACCGCCACCATATAGCTTGAATATTGCTGAGTGCGGCGTAAAACTAAACTCACTCACTCATTTAGCCATGGGAGCTGTGTCAATTTCCACAGGTACACAAAGTATTTGATCTAAGACTGGAACTCTGAATTGCTCACTAAACACAAAACTTCCATTTTGCACAGTGAAATTGTGGCTGAGTGGGTTAATTTTGGTCCTAAAAAGTTGTTTAACCATTATTTTGTTGTCACGTTTTGCTATATCTCCCAAATGTTGATCACTGGATTGACTGGTCCAGACTCGATTATTTACAGACCACCGCCATATAGCTGGAATATTGCTGAGTGCGGCGTTGAACTAAACTTACTCACTCATTCAGCCATGGGAGCTGTGTCAATTTTCACAGGTACACAAAGTATTTGATCTAGACGAACTCTTGTCAAACTTCCATTTTTGTGGAAGCTGTGGTGGCTGAGTGGGGTCCTTAACCCATTATAGTCTTCATTTTAGACCGATGAATTGCTCACTAACACAAAATTTAAGAATTGCAACAAACCAAATTTTGCACAGTCATATGAAATTGACAGATTAACTCTGATGATTTATCTCATAATTTTGGACACCCGAATAAAAAAGTTGTTTAACAAAAGTTCATTATTTTGTTGTCACGTTTTGCTATATCTTACGATGGGGACCACTTGCTGGTAGAACAGCCAGGTAATCAACAAGCGTGTGCAGTGAAATTTCAATTTCACCTACAAATCGCACACCTTGGCTGTTCTACCAGCAAATGGTCCTCCCTTGAAAAAATAGCGAAAAATGACAACAAAATAATGATCGTTTGTTAAACAACTTTTATATTTGGGTGTCCAAAATCATGAGATAAATCATCACAGTTTGTCTGTTGATTTCATGTGACTGTGCAAAATTTGATTTTGTTGCAATTATTAGATTTTGTGTTGATGAGCAATTCATCGGTCTAAAATAGAGTCAAACGGACTATAGGTCCCTTACTCTGTGGGTTTAAATCCCGGATTGACTCAGCCAAGAAAACACCGTACTAGATTCTGTAATAAACTCAGAAAGTGTAATCACAAATATATGTTGAAATGGTCCAGAGTAAGAATATTTTGCTTTACAGCTCTCTATTTTAACAGAGTGAATTCCAGGTTTCACAAGGCCACAACATTTAGGACACTAACGTGAAACATTTGCAGTGTCTTCGTTGGTGCTATCAACAATCATATGTTCGATTCGTCTCACAGTATGTCAATTCACCCTGTCACTGAAGTGGGTGTTTGACTGACTTGGTCTCTGGTGTAGCAGTCAAAATACAGACACGTTGAACAACTTACACATTTAAATAATATCGTATTAACTATGTCCCGCCTCTTATTTTGAATCATGGATTTGTAATTGTCATTTTATGGCTGCGATAGACAATATTGTCATGTTAAAATGTATACTTGTACACTTACTCTTGAATGTGATTTTGTGTAAAATAATGGATTTGAGCATATGTGTATACTTGGTGTCGTCATTTAATGGCTGCGATACTGCCGAGTCAACGTTAACTTTTAAGTCACTCACTTGAATCTACTTTATACTGTAGACATGCTGACATTAAAACTCGTCCGTTAATGATGAACAAAAATTGAATTCATCAAAAGTGACATTTTCACCTGAATCAAGGAAATAGAGTCCCTCTCTTGCATATAAATGTGAACTAGAATTACAGTACCAAGAACACTGTACTTACCAAAACCAACAGCAGAAGGGGATATGGTGAAGTCCTCAGTGGTTGAAACTAATCTCTGGTAGATGACACACTCTCCTGACATCGGTTTAAAGGACATGGACCCACAATCGTTATCTGCAGAGCAAATATCAGCGCATTCCCACACACTGGACGATGCACGAACATCAGTCCAATTGTGTACACATCTCCCATCGAGATCCGGACGTCGAAAAAGGAACGTACGTTTTGTGATTGGTGCCGACTGAAAAGACCTACTGATAAATATGAAGAATAACACAATGTGAATATTAGACAAGGACATGACAGAGCAGGAATCTCACGCTTTAGTTTTCCAGTGATGAAGATATGTTTTCGCGGTCAGTCTATTTCATCCAACATTGTAAGGCCATGAAAAATTATTTTGTGTTTCTTGACCAAATAGTATGGTGATCTACATTCAGTTGCGGGCGATCTGTAGCATGTTTTTATATTGTATAGACTTCTATAGTTAAACTGTTTCAGATTTAATTATTAGTTTTTTTTAGAATCTGTGATAGTCTAGTTGTTTTACTGTCCTTCGTGGACAGGTGTTTATGGTTTACTATTAATTATTATAATTCTATCACTTGATTTAGTCACAATATGACTGAAATATTGTTGATGTGACTCAAGATCTTAACTCACTCACTAACTAGTTTTAAATTTATATCTGTGATGATCTAGTTTTTTTTATGTCCTTCGTTGACCGAATTTTATAATTTACCTTTAATTATAATATATCTATAACTTGATTTAGTCACGATATGGCTGAAATACTGCCGATGTGACTTAACTCATGACCAGTTTACGTTAATGATAAAAAAATCGTTTGGGACGACCATCAACTATTCTTGGACTGAACATGATGTGTTATGTAGCAGGTAACAGTTTCTGATAAACACGATTATAAGGTATTTCTTCTCCCAAGTAATGACAGAATATCATGTATGAATACGATTGTTAACACTACTCACTAACAGACAATGCTACCTGTGTAAGTAACCAATACTTCTCGTCTTACCTGGTCTTTTTATTCGTTCTTTTCTTGCATCTATCCATCGTTGGATGGAAACGTCCTTTCATGTCTCTATACTTAAGGGAAGCAACTTGGTTAACGTACGTAGGTAGAAAAGCGGTCAAAACGAAGAAAATTGCTTTCTAGAAACAAATATTTAACCTTTCATGGCCCAATATTAGTAGCGAAGTGTCATGTCAACAGACGGGAGAAATTCAAGTAACGGATGTGAGCTTATAGATATGCTGTCTATGAATTAAACAAAAGTAAAACACTTAGTTACCTACAGCGAAAGAGGGGGTTAGAAATAAAGGAATTTATAATTGTTTCTTGCTTGTTTCTTGCTTGTCAAGTTGACTGTAAATATGCAATTAGTGACTGAAAAACTGAGCCCCAGAACTCTATGAGTCATGGCGTTACAGATTGTGTATGGATGAGAATCGATAAAGCAAACAAAACGTTATATTCCTACTTTTAGTGTGTGGATTTCTTCATTAAATGTAATCTATGATCATGAAAATTAAGCAGGTAAGTGCTATCCTCAATCACTCCCCAGTTATAATTGGCTTCACTGGATCGATTACAACCAGGATGGCCCCGAGGCATATTGTATATACTGATACAATGTGAGAACAAAAAGCTTTCGAGAGACAAAAAGCTAAATTGTGCGATTATTATTACTCGTAGTATTGTTACTATTGTGGTCTGTTTGCTGGATTATTGGGTGCTACAATGTAGATTTCTTTGTGTTCACATCAGTGTGATTGTTTGTCGGTACCAGGTTCGATGAATGTAATGTGTCGTCACAAAACAGATTGATTTATGAACTGTCACAAGTTTTATATATACGCATGGAGAAAGTTACACCTATGATTTTAACCCCTATATAGCCATGTATGGTATATTCATAACAGAATTATGTTTGTTTGTATAATTAATGAGTTAGTGAGTTAAGATTTTAAGTCACATCGGCAATATTTCAGCCATATCGTGACTAAAACAAGTTATAGATTTATAATGATTAAAAATTACATTAGGAACACCTGTCAACGAAGGACAGTAAAACTACTAGATTATCACAAATATATATTTAAAACTAGTAATTAAATCTAAAACCGTTTAACTATAGAGGACGATACAATATAAAAACGGGCTATAGATCGCCAACAACTGAAGGTAGATCACCATACTAGGGACCATGGGGACTTACAGTACCTAAGTTTGCTACCTGCATGAACCCTAGTTGGATTTACACCATCCCTTCATCCCCTGGCGATTGTAGGAAAATTTAACCATAACTAAAAGAAATACTTATTTTGCACTTCGAGGGCAACGCACATTGATTTAAGCTATGCTCATGCTAAGAGTGAGTGAGTGAGTGATTAAATGTTGCTTCAAGCCGTATCAACAGCTATTCCCGGCTAAAAAATAAGTTTCCTCCTGTGGAAACGAATAGAGAATAGAAATGAAGGCTTAGATCACTAAACCTTCAATCAATTATCACAGTAAACAGTACCAAGATAGCATTCAGACGTTGGCCAACGTTGGCAACAGGTTTTGGGCCAACGTCCGAATGCTATCTGGGGTAGAATCTGTCATTCATACACGGAATACATTGAGCGGGACCCTCTTCCTTTAAAAAATGAGTGTAATGAGATTGTCCAATGACGACATCGTTTCTTGGGCACAATCGGGCCCTATCAAAGGTTGAATGGCATGAGACTTTTAAGATATTGGTTTTGATTGCTTGAAGACAAGATCGGCTATCTGAAAATATGATAATGTCCTTTCGTTTAACGTTTAATAAGTTACAGCTAATAGGATAGCCCAAGCCGCAAAAATGTAACATCCACCAGGGAATCGTAGTGATAAAAGCGTCATCACGAATAACAGCTGCTGCTGACACTTGGATCCATCTCTATGAAGGTAAACTGCTAGTTGATAACACAAGTGGTTTGTATCAGACTTTTTCACTTTGGTTAATTACCAATTGACATCAGACTCGATTGACTGCCACGGTATCACTTCCGACAGTTTACATCAGCAATTGCAGACAACTATATGTTTGCATCTGTTAAAGGATGCTGAGTGCGGACTCCAAGAGGAATATTAAACATAGCGTTAAAGGCAGGATTTTACGGAAATATATATGTATTTGTAAATATATAAGCAGCCAACGGCTGAACTGATGGTGTTAATACATTGTGGGTCCATGCAGGAAGTATGGTGATCTACCGTCAGGTTGTCGATTTGTTGCTTGTTATTGGATATAGTATTAGGCTCATTCCGGCTCCGTCCGTCCATAGTACGAATTGGAATATCTTAGAAGAACCGTTGACTAGATTGTTTTCATATTTGGTACCTAGGTTCATCACAGTATAAAAAAGGTCCCAGTCAGGTTTGACCTTCGTTTCAAGGTCACAAGGGGACTGTAACGTTTACTCTTGTCAGAGAGATATCTCAAGAACCGTTAATTAGATTTTCTTTATATTCAACACCAAGCTTTATCTAGGGACGGCGCAAAGCCCAGTCGATTTTGACGACCTTCACATAATCTTCAAGGTCATGGTGAAACTTTGAAGATTTCAGCATATCAACCTGCATGTTATGCTTGTCAGCGAGATACCTCTAGAACCATTCGCTGGATTTTCTTCATATTTGACATCAAGCTTTGTCTAGGAAAGGCACAGTGCCCAGTCAATTTTGGTGACCTTCACATAATTGTCAAGGTCACTGCGACACTTTCACCATTTTTGCATATTTCATACACTGTGACATTCATGTCAAGGTCAAAGTCAGTCTTGAAAATATTTGTGTGTTTGAACAACTAAAAAGAAGATATCAAGAGAGGTTGACTGGTCATGTTTTTGTTGACATTTAACTTCTTAAACTTTCATTAAAGTTTGATTTGATAATTTGCGGCGGGGGATTATGTCACCTTAGTGACAATGCTTGTTATATATGTTGTATTGTCTGTGGTTGTATAATTACTGGTTTTACATCTGTATCTTTGAGTTTCTAGTTGTTTTCAATGTAGTTCTTCAAAATATTGTTATATTCTCGGTTTATATGTCATTAATGTAGAAATTGTTTTGGTGACTATATGGCAGAAATATGACGTGACTAGAAATCTTAACTCACACACTCACTCATATGCCTTTCGTAAATCAAACGTGTTGTTTATCTATAAAACCATTATGTACAATTTATTATACCATCGGCATGTAATATAACTGTAGCATAACTCAGAAACCATTAAATATTTTTCAAATAAAATTGGTAGATATATCAAGCATAACCTAAGGTTATTGCTATTTACAGATTGTTGTCATTTTTATTTCTCTCGGCTTCCATGGAAACGTTTTGGACTTAGTCTTAGAGGGAGGGATGGGCTTCGTTTCCGGAGCATAACGCCAAAAATTGGTAGATATATCAAACAGAACCTAAAGTGGTGCCCTTTGCTATTTACAGATTTTTTGTGATTTATTATTTTCTCGTTTTCCATGGAAACGATTCGGATTCAGCCTCAAAAGGGCGGGGTGGGCTTCGTTTCCGGAGCAGAACTCGAAAGCCGTTCACTATCTTTCAACAAAACTTGGTATATATGAGACAGATCTTGAAGTGGTGCCTTCTTCTAATTACAGATTTTTGTCATATTTATTTTTCTCGGTTTCCATGGAAACGATTCGGACTTTGTCTCAAAAGGGAGGGATGGGGTTTCGTATCCGGAGCACAACTCGAAAACTTCTTAATATCTTTCAGCATAAACCTTGCAGATATGTGAGGCAGTTGTGCCTTTTGCCATTTGCAGATTTTGGGCATTTATATTTTTCATGATTTCTATGGAAACGATTTGGACTGTCTATAAAAGTCAAGCTGGACTTTAGGTAAATGTCAGATGATTTGTTCTTTCAAATATGTTTGGGGGGGATATGTCATCTTCTGATGACTCTAGTTATAATCAGTTTAACCAAGCGTTCCATGATTTAACAGATGCAACTTGTTAAAGCAATTGAAGGATTTGTGTGTGGTTCTTCCTTGTTTTAGGT